CTCTCTGCTTATTATTCTCTCAACAGCAATAAGACAGAAATGATATCACTCAATTTGAGTGTTAATACATTTCCAAGATAATCTGAACAGCAAACGAATTAGAATCTTTAAACGCCACCTTCACCATTCTTCAGAAAACTGTTAGGAGGGCAAAAAGTCCGTAAAGCAAGGCACAGGGGTATGCGATCAGAAGCTGCTGTCCCTCCATGTCCAAGGCTGACATGAAGATCTTGGAAGCTGAGAGGCTGCACCAGCCAACGATGACCAGGGCTGACGCGGTTCCAAAGGTGCCCCTACAGCAAAGACAAAAGAGGTGATTGCCTTACACCAGGAGACAAAGAGATGATTGACTCACAGCTGCCTCTGAAATGTCCTTGGTACAATATTTATAACTACTTTCTCCATTTGTAAAATGAAGATGCTGAACCATATGGAAAAAAAAAGCCTCAGCTAGCTAGAAAACTCTGTAGTCAAATTCACCATGGAGGCTCAATGTTTTATACTTCAGTAAAACCTCAATGAGTAAAAACAGAAGAAACCACCAGCAGTCACTCTGATCTGTCAACATTCAAGTCCCAACTCCTGAAATTCCCTTATGTACTGTGTTTAGAGCCTTCTCTTCCTTATAGCTACAGATTTCCTTTCTCCTGCTGTCTTCAAAAATTGGCCCACAGGATAAGAAAGATGAATGGAGTTACATTCCAGTAGGGTGACTGGTCCCCGCTATGTACAGATCCATTTCTCAGGTTTTTGTCTGAGATACCAAAGCCCGACATGGCTCAAGTAGCAAACACATGAAATAAGAAAGGACACATATGTGGGGCCTCCCACCTCATTTCTGAATTTCTATTTCGTATGTGTATGTGTGGATGCTTTAGGATACTGGAACAGATTTGTTCCAATTGGTATCTTCAAACAGTAACTGCGGAGGCAATCAGTTCTTTAAGAAGGAATAGGCGAATAAGGTGGTTAAGTCTGGCCACCGTGGGAATAAAAAGCTAGGCAGGGGCACCTACAATAAAAAGTCAATTTCTTTGCTTATGTGCAAAACAGAATTCATTATGTAGAAAAATAAGACCTAAGAGCTAGGAGAGAACTCAGGAGATATCTAGTGCCCAGCTTTAAAGCACTGCGGGGACTTGCTCAGTAAAGTGGGCATCAGGTCAAGCTCTCCGAACTCCTAGCACGTTGCTGTTTTCACCAGCAAACTACACTGCCTCCCCTGGTCCTGGTTTGACTCTGAAGTTGGGAATTGTGTTTGCTATTTGTGAGAATGACAGAAATACCAACTTTTAATAATTTCACTGAAGTAAAACACGTGAAAATCTGCACAGTATAGCTTACAATGCCTTAGATTATCAGTAAACCAAAAATATTTTTAAAAGCATCCAATAAATACCATATTTGTTGGTTTAATTAATACCTATTAGGAACAGTTTCTAGAGTGATTTAATGTACATGTTTCTGTGAACAAAAATGTAAAATTATATCTGATTAAGTTGAATGATACAGTAGATTTCAATTTAATGTCTTAGGGGTCAGATAGTTTATTCCCCCTTTAATATTAATATAAAGTACCTCCAGATCATCCTTTATAATTTCAAAATGAAAAAGTCTGGACTTCTAATGATTCCTCAAATCTAAAAGTTTTAGTTTTTATTTTCTTACTATTTCTGACTACTCTGAAGTTATTTAAAATGCTCCAAATCTCAACTTTGCTGGAAACAATGTTTAAAATTTAGAATTTTTAAACCATAGATCATAATAGTATTCTTTTACAAAAGTGAAGTAGAAGTTATAGAACTGAACTCTGCATTAACATGCCAAACTTCTATACTGAATAACAGAGTGAATGGACCCGCTTACTAAAGAAAACAGCATATCAAAGGTGGGATTTTTCCATGGATAAGACTCAATAAATATACCTATATACCTATAACTCACATTATGTTTAGACATTCAAGGTATACATTTCCTGTCATATTCTTCTCTTTAAAGTGCTGAATACTTGCTGATAAAGGGTTTGCTCTAATTTATTCTTTAGGAATGTTATTTTAAAATGATACCACATTAAAACAAGAAAAGCATTTATAAGTCATTGTCAATAATGTTATAAAAAAGTTATTTGTGATTATATTGAACAAAAACATTAAGAGCTTTCCTTAAGATGTTTATCTTTGGCATTGGTAAATTCTTTATATAATATCCTCACCAATGTAACATTAATAATCTAAGACTTGCATTATTCAAGAAGAAAATGCAAACTATATCTCTTTGGATGTAGAAGAATGAACACTGATGCCAAATGTTTATTTTTCCAAGTGGGTTTGGTACATGGCAGTTGACAAAGGACTATGGAATCCCTTGCTTTCCTCACCAAAGTGGTAGTGAGAGGCATTTGCCCTGGGAAATTGCCCAACAGAAACTTGTATCTACTGTACCTTTCTTAATAGTTTTGAATTGCAAGTACTAACTGCCTAAGCGAGGGGAGAAAAAGAAAAAAAATGTGTTGACTGAACATATATGCTACTAAGTTCTCTAGCATTAATATCTTGAGCGTCCCTGGGAATTCTGCACTGCAAGGAGCCCAGCTGAGAAAGAACCGCTGCTTCTAGCCCGGAAGGCAGGAAGCCTGGGAGCAGAAGCAATTTGTCATGTTCACCAGACGCTTACTCTTCCAAAATCAAGCAAGTGCATTTTCTGTAGTTGTTATTTGACACATGACAATAGGTCACATTGAAAAATGTGCCTTAAAAAGCGCCAGTTTTAAAGATAACTTGGCTTAATTTATTTTTTAAATCATTGAAACAGGACTAGCACCTGAGCCAAACCTGACCTACTTTTCTGAATCTGTGTGCAACTTTTAATAGCCATTGTTTCCTTAATTCCACTACCAAAACGATGGGAAAGAGCTTAACTCTTGCACTGGGGTGGCAAGCCTTCACGCTGATCGTGCATGCAACGTCAGAACACACGGTCACTTACTGCAGGGAAAAGAAGATGGCGCAGCTGGACAGGATGACCATGGGCAGCAGGCAGTAACCCAGCACGCTGGCCACACAGCCACACGACACCCCGGAGGAGCTCATCAAGTTCAGCAAGGCATAAACCCCAAGGCAGCCGAGGGCACTCAGGCCGTACACATAACCAAACTGAGCTTTTCCTGCCTGGAACAACGTGAAGAAAACAGGTTGAACACACAGTAGACATCAAGAGGAAATCTGAACATCAACAAAGCAGACGGTATTTTAGAGTCAGCTTAACACTGCCCCCTATCTTTGTAGTACTATCCTCAGGAGACTGGAGGTCCTGGAAGAAAACACTGCCGGTGAAATGAATTCAGATCCTGAAAACGAATATCCCTGACTATACTTGGGATGGAACAAACATGCTACAGAAAAGATGAAATATTGCTAGGTTTGTATCATCGATTGTCTATTAGGAGTACAGGGCATAAGTAAAGCTATATTTTGTCCCCATATTTATTGAATAATTGAATGATCAAATAAGGAATGAAAAAACATCCAAGTTAGTCTTGGAGATTTACAAGGCATATTAGTAAAATTTGCAAACATCTATAGGATTTACTGTGTCGGGTCCTATTCTACGTGTCCTACGTATATTATTTAATCCACATAACAACCTTATGAGATAGAGACCATTATTATGCCAACTTCACACATGAGGAAACTGAGGGGCACACAGGTGAAGTAACTTGCCCAAAGTAATATGATGCTAAGCGGTGGAGATTGGCAGGGACTCGAGCAGTCTGGCTCTAAAATTCGGATCTTTAACATTAACAGGTGCACTAACAAGTCTTAAAATAATGGGATTTATTTAACCACATTTAACTCAGCACATCCCAAACTTATTTGACCACAGACTCCTTCTGTTCTTCATAATGCCTACTCCACGCTGACGGACAGCACCTTATGAAAAGCTGATTTATATAAACCAGCTGGTAATGAATCATAAAAGGGGTGTTGTTAAAGGAAGTTAGTAGTGTTCAGAGTACACCACTAAGCTTCTAAGGAGGATTCAGAAATAGCCATCCCTCCCAAGAAATTCATCCAGACAAAGTCACAACCTACTACAAATATTCATTCAACAGGAGATTTTTTTAATGTTTGCTACCTGAGAATGCCAAAGCTCCCGTAAATAATGCATTTATTTTTTGTCTTTACATTAAGTCGATTGTAACTTCTGGATAGAGGTTGAATAGGCTGACTCTGGTTTTCAGGGGAATTATGCAAAAGCAATGAAGGATCTGATAAATTGATTCATTAGAGAGAGCTTTTCAGCTGTCGTTTTTCCTTTTCCGTGGTGGGTATCCATGAAGTTCTCTTTAAATCTTTTATATTCTTATACCTATTTGAGGAAATAATGCTAGTTATGGGCATGCCATCAGTTATGCACTGCCCTATTGGGTAGGTTTCCTCTGCTAGGAAAATAGTGACAATTTCAAATTACTTTTATGTATTACAGAGACATTCTACTTAATGTTTTACTTGGATGGGATAATTCTAAGATAGAGCTCGTTGTAATGTTGTAGGACAATTTCCTTACACCCAAAGGACACATAACTGTATCTTTCTGGCCCTAAAAGGCAGTTTTATAAATGGAGTATGGCAAATAGGGGGTGGATGAAACTAATTTGGTACTAATAGTAAAATTGTGCCTTTCCTGCTAAATTACAGGCCTCTCTCTTCATGGCTTCCTCTTGCCAGTTTGTCCAATTTAAGTTGTAATTTTATTTGACCTGCATCACTGCTATTTTAAAAATTTGTTTCAAAGTCTAACGAGAGCTTATAATTGAAATAGAAATAAACGTTCCATTTTTTTAACCTCAAAAGTTTTCAGCCCTCCCTAATTACCACATATTAATTTAAAATACTTAGTATTCTTCTGATTATGCTTTTTCATATTGGTCATGGATATTGTTTTTCCAGATCACATCCTTAGACCTACCAGAAAAGTTACATGGAGCAATTGCTTTAAACCACTTCTATTCTTTATTTTTATTTTATTTTTTAAAAATTTTTTATTTATTTTTTTAATTCAGGATATTATGGGGGTACAAACATTTTGCATTTTGGTTACATGAAATGTGTTTGCCTCACCCAAGCCAGGGCTGCAAGCATGTCCTTCCCCCATACAATGCACCCCGTTTCTATTAGCTGTGGGTTTACCCCCCAACCCCCTCCACCCCCCACGCCCTCTACCTGACCGGCACCCAGTGAGTATTACTACCATGTGAGCACCTTAGTGTTGATCAGTTAGTACCAATTTGATGGTGAGTACATGTGGTGCTTGTTTTTCCATCCTTGTGATACCTCACTTCCAAGGATGGGCTCAATCTCTATCCAGGATAATATAAGAGGTGCTAGATCTTGGTGTCAGGGCTGAAAATAATTTTGGGGGAAAGAATGAGTAAAACTAAAGCTTGTGTTAAGTGTTTGAAGCTGTTTTCTTTGGTTTGTCTTCTTCAACCTGAAGAAAGCCCACTAAAAAGTATCGGGTCTTTACATCAACATAAATTATAAAAATGATAAGTATATGATTATGAATGTTACGTATCTGGAGATAGTGAACAGATTTGGATATTGGTTCTGGATTTAGTTTTGCTTTCTCTAGTATAATTCCTGTATCAGCCTATAAAATCACACTTTATATTTTAATTCTAGATATCCAGGGCAGAGTTAACCTAGCATCAAATGAATTCTGAGTTAAATCTTACTTCAATTAATATCCAGTTGGAGTTTTTTTTTTGGAGGGGGATCCTTATTGATCTATGTTTATCATAAATCAATTCTAAAGTTACCACATCTAATGGTAAAATCCAAGTGAAATTGTTTACATAAAAAGATTCAGAAAATTGGTATTTTCACACATTCTCCATAATTTTAGAACTCAAAGGAACCATAAGAATCACTCAAATAAACTCCTTTCGTCTTGAAGAAGATAAAATGAGGGCCTATAAATATGAAACCAAACATTCAAGATCACAGCCAGTGGAAAAGTTAGGGTAGATCCAATTTTCTCACTTCCACTTAAGAATTTTTTTGCCTATAATGTTTTGCATTTAAAACATAAGAGAGGACATTTAAATAATTCCAACTAACATTATACATCAAAGAGAGATTTTAGTGGGATTAATGCTATCCTTTAAGGAATGCCAACTGTAATATTTTTCTACAGAAAAGCAACTGTTCTATTACAAATGACTTGAAAAAGAAAGATGAGTTAATATATTAAATTGATTGTTTCTGACTATTTGATTAATTGACATGGCCTTACTTAGCAGCTTAATCTAAGATTATCAAATTACTGCGGCAAAGACAGAAGAAGGGAGGTTAGAGACTAAATTAAAACTCCAGTCGATACAGTATTTGATTTACAGAGTATTTACATTTGCTGTAGTACAAAGAAATAAGATGTTATCATTAAATACTTTTGTAGAGGATATATATGATGTGATTATTGGACACAGTACCATACAGAAACTAGACTGCTATCAGTATTTTGATTGATAATATATAATTAATAAATGAAAAGTGAAACTTATTTAGTTGCAAATGCATTTTATAACTACTTTTAAAAATGATAGCTACATTAAGGGAAAATTATTTTTATGGCAAGTGTATAGTGGGGGAAGAGGGTTAAATAGTTATTTTAAATTATTTTAAAAGTTCCTAGAATCTTTAATTTCCTAAATTATTTCCCCTGCCGAGTTTAGCTCTTTGTGCCTTAATGAAACTATACTTTTCAGACTGAATTGACCATTTCCATCTTGTTTTTAATGTATTACTATTCCCTCCTCATTGTAAAATCCGAGACCTTTTCTCCTTTATTTTTCTCTTCTTCCTTTTTGTTTAAGCTATGAGTTAGAATGTTTTCTAAACTTGACTTAGGTGGAAACACGTTTTTTTGTTGTTTTTTTTTTTACCTTTTGGTGACTCTTAATATCATTGCTTCCAGGTGAAAAGAATGAAAGGGGCCCATACAGAAGGTATATGGTGAAGTTAGGGAAAAAATGCCTTCATAAAATGCAGAAAACTAAAACTATACAGGAAATATATAGATTGAGTAAACAAATCATAGGTTATCATTGCAAATTGTTTTATTCATAAATAATGTGTTAATTTATTCATAAACAATTCATAATTTATTCAGAAACAAGGAGACTCATCTCCTGCTTCGCAAGATATTAGAAATACTCTTGGGATATACCGCAGCAAAGAAAACGATGACCAAATTGGAAGAGAGGTGACTTGTTCAGTGTCTCAACAGAAATCTCACAGAAATCAAGAAATCAAATTTAGGTCTTATAGTTCCCAAATCCATGTTTTCCTTCAACTATTCCAGCCTGACAGTCTTTTCTTAATAACAATAAAGACATAAATGATCTCTTGCTTTGGGGAAAATTTGACTTGGTGGTTTGATTTTTGAAATTCTGTTTAAATTAATATTTTTATTTGTTGTAATACATGATAGCAGCTTCTTTTTGTCCCTATGGTTTGATTAAATATGCTCTCTCACTTAAAAAGTTGAGTCATGCATTAAACCATTTTCACTACATAAAGCAACATGCTTTCTTCTGTATTTACAAAACGACAAGCGTTAAAATCTGGTGCCTGCTGTCGCACTTACCAGAAGCAGGGTGGCTCCCAGAGCGACGCAAAACAGGACGGGACCAGTGAGGTCCGTTTCGTTCATAATGCTGCCATCTGCTGGTTTCATTGGGTTTAACACCGTCAAGGTTTTTTGCCATATGTGATCAAAATTGATTCCAAGTTCTGCAAAAAGAAAAATAGAGTAATATAAACATAGAAAAATATAAATGTTATATTCTTTAATTAAAGGTTAATATATTTCAATACTGTACTTAGAATTTTAATCTGATTGTCCTATTATGCCTTCTAAAGTTTTATGTTCTATCTTACATAGAATCTAAATTTCTGTAATATATACTAATCCTTAAAAAACAAACTAAAAGTTTTTATTGCCAAACAATGAAACAAACTAAATATTTTAGAGAAATAGTCCATAAAAGAAAAAGTTTCCTGATTTATGTAGCAAATGCACGCTTAAAATCTAGTTAAAAATTGGGAAATTGATGATACGCAAAGATAAAATTGTAGCTAATAGACCAAAAGCCTCATCCTATCACCCATTTAGATATTTCCTCTTTCCATATTTTCAACTGCTAACACTTCTGAAATCTTGTCATATCAACTATGGCATAATTTTTCAATTAGTAGTACTATCTAAACTAATGATACTTAATCCAAGTCTTGGATTTTACTACCACTATGCCTAATGAGAAGAGCAATTTTATGCTAAATGCCTGAAACCTCACTGAGGAGAAAAGGGGAGGGCTCTTTTTGCACATAAAAATAATCATAAAGTAATCATAATGTGCACTTAAACTTTTATAAGGTCAAGGCACTATGAGATTGAGTCTGTATATTCCAAGATTAAATTATTGAGACAAGTTAAACTTTCCCTTTTATAAGTGGTAGTGTTAGAATAAAATATTCACAATCAGTGCGGCTCGGTGTCCAAGAGTCCAAAGTCCTGTAGAAATTTCTAATGTTTTTCCTCCTATACTTATTTTCCAAAGAATTCTGCCTGCCACCTCACAGACCCCTCTGCTAGATTGTGTTCTTCTTATAATATTTTTATAAAGAAAAACACTCAGGCATTTGACATCCACTGAACATGGAAATAACTATCGACACCATATTGGTTTCTTTTCTCACCACTTCTATAAACTAAGAGGTATCTTGGGTAGAAAAAGAGAACATTCAAAGAGAAGAGTGTAACTTAACTAGCAATCAAACTGATTACTCTCCTTCTATCATTTTTAAACTTCAATACAGGCGAGGTGGAAGCTAGGAAGAACCGAAGCTAAACTACTGTAAGTACAAATATTTTAACTAAAAAGAACTACCATTTACTAAGTGTTTACTGTGGGCTCTACAAGATTGACATGCATTGGTCTCAAACACACACGATGAAGCTAGTACTGTTCATTTATTCCTGTTTTTATGCATCAGGTGATTGAGTTTTGAGAGGTTAAATAACTTGTCCAAAGTCACAGAGCTAGTAATTGAAAATCTAGGTTTCAACATTGGACAATCTGACTCCAGACTGCATGCTTTTAATCATGGAGTTCTGGTTTGGTCAATGTGCATCTAATCCATCTAATCTCATAATAGTTGTATTTTTTTAAATAAGCCCAATTCTCCCATGTGAAGTACTATCTTCTTAAGTTTATTTATATGTGGCATTCAGCTTCCCTTGCAAGGATTTAGCAACCCTCTTTGGTCAGCTACAAGGCAGAGCTAAACTTCTTTTACAGCAGCCCGTACCACTTAAATATCTTGCATGCCTGACATTCTGTGCACAGAATACAAGATGCACTTTTAATGACTCCCGTGACACAGAGGGGCCTTGCTCTAAAACCCCAGAGATTTTCAAAGAGTCATCTAGGCACTGGTCTGAACTAAGATAGAAAGAGTAGTTTACTCATTTCATGCCCAGGATGAAATTTGCTATTCCAAGCTTGCAAAGAAAAAAAAATGACCAGTTAAATTAATTGTAAGCAAATAATTTACATTTCAACTTCCATGTTTCATGCTTTATTTTCATAGTGTGTTTGTATATTTCTTAATGAACATACCCTTTGCAGAATATGAGCAGGTCACCAAGCTTAAAATAAGGTTAGGATGCTTAATATAATTTTTCAAATAGCATAAGAAATTAACAATTGAGAAATGCTGTATTTTAAATTCATTTCACCTGAAGCTTATGTTGTTTTCAAGCTTTATTTTCAATTTTGGCATTAACGCTAACAATATATTTTCAGCATTTACCACAATAAAGTGGTCTTTAATTCCAAAAGCCTTTTTCCTCAAAAAGCATAATTATTTCTGAAAAAGACTCAGATGAAAAATGCTTTATGCGGCATCATTACTGATTCTAACCATTTATTTGATGGCATAATTAACTTCTGCACATGTTTCAACATTGAGTCATGAAGCAATAAATGAGCATAAGACCTACTAAATATTTTCATAAAAAAAAGATTTTATGTGCTTTCTTCTAAAATATCACTCCATAATATTTTGGCTTTGAATTTATTACAAAGTATGTGAATGAGATTGTGAGTATTTATTAATTGTAGATCCTAATATAACATCATATTATACCAAATAAAAGAAGATGAAACTGCTGTGAAATTTGAATGCAAAATTTATTGTTTTGCTGTCATCTAGTGGTAGTAAAGTCATAATATATATGCTATAAAAATGAATTAAAATCTTTATTTTCTATGTAAATTGTGGCATTTGGCTTTTCATATGTAAACATCAGGCTATGCTACAAATACAAAATGCCAAATATCAGTAATTTTTTCTGGTCTGACAGACTTGAATTGACTATTATTTTTGAAGATGCATTCATTAACATATTGACTGTATATTATCAAATACAAAGGTTATTATTCTTACATAAAACCAAATAAGCATTTTAGATGACAAAGCACTTAAGGAATAAATTAGCACATTTCTAAAATAACATACTTTTGTGCAAGAAATCTTCATTATTATAGCTTCATAATGTTATAGGCCATTTTGATGTGTGCTCAATAAAGACTAGCAAATGCTATTTATTACCTTATCATAGAAATCCTGACTATATCTGTTTCATATCTTTAGACAGATGAGGCTTGAGGCTTTCACAAATCACCCAGCCTGAACAACACATTGGATCAAAAGTCTAGATATTCCATAGATTCCAAATGCAAAATTATATCAGGTTCTCTCTCTTAATACTATATATTTGGTATAGGTGATCACAAAGAGAAAAAAGATCTAGAATATTTTCTCTAAGTTGTATAAAGTGTGAAGGAAAATCTGGTGTTTATTTTCTATCAAATTTAAGGAGACATTAGAGGAGGATGCATGGAGTGTAGCATACGGCAATAGAGACATTTCTTTTAAGTAGAAATGTTTCAGGAAAAAAATGGTTAACCAGTAAAGAAAAAATTAAAGTTAAATCCTTACCTCACATATTAAGCTAAAAACAACTCTCAAATCAAAAATTTAAATATAAAACAAAAAAATGTTAAAAATTTGAAAATCTATAAAGGGATATAAATAGTGTTGAGAGCTGGAGAAAGAGATGCTAAACAAAAGAGCAACTGGAGAGAAGAAAAGTTACCAAGAAAAATATTCTGGATCTAAAACAAAAGTATTAAATTTTTTATATGCCCCCCCAAAGACCTATAAACAAATTAGATGGCAAACCCATGCTAGGAAAAAAAATATTTGAAATACATATTCCAGATAATAAATATTTTTACTACATAAATGTCTCTAAAAATAAACAAGAAAACTGTTTAGATTCCAATAGAGAATCTGACCCAAAAAACATGAAAAGTAGGAAGAAATAAAAATATTCGATAAACACATGACAAAAGGTCAAACTTTTCCAGTAACCAAGAAATAAAAATTATTCCTTTTTTAAAAAAAAATATTGACAAAGACATCTCATATTCTGTAAGGGTACAGTGGAACACCGATTTCAGAGATTGGTTTGACGGTGTAAGTACCTTTTGACCCAGTAATCCCACTGTTGCAGATAAATCCTGGAGACCTCTCTCCAGGTGACAGGTTGTTGGCTATGATGTTCACCAAAGCATTACGTATTATAAGGAACATCATTAAGGTGTGTTTAAATTAAAGTTCTTTTATGTGATAGAATATTGTGAAGCCATTATAAGTCGTGTTTTCAAATAAGATTTAATGACTTTAAAGAATGCATGCCTAGAACTTTCTATGATACAAGGTAACTGAAAAGAATAAATATCTTTGTAACCATAATATGATCCTATTTTCATTTTTAAGTACTCATAAATACATATACATTCATTGAAAAATAGTATTTCATTTTTAAGTATGTATGTGTGTGTGTATATATATATATACATATATATATACACACATAATATACATATACCTTTGTAGGAAAAGAGAATAAAGGCTCAAGGAAATACATCAAATTGTTAATAGTAGTCATGTTTTGGAGACAAGATTTGAAGTGATTTTTATATTTTTACTCATATGCTTCTATATTTTCCAAATTCTATACTGAATACAATCAGACAATTGATAGTTTATTTATTTATTTTTTAAACAGAGATGTTGGTGGAGTCAAGAAAAATTTTTAACAAGAATAGCTTATAACTTTCAGGTGTTTATTAATTGCAGAAGCAAAATAGAATGAACTGGTTAAATATAATTGATCCAAAAACTTAACTGGCTTTTAAAGAGCCAGTAGATCTATTATATAATTTTCTGTACTATTTTGAATTGTTTTAATCTTAAACATCTTAACATTCTCAAGGCAAAGAAAGAAGAATCTTTCAATTCCAGGTGGCTGGCTGTGTTCATATCAGGCAAACAATGATCTTTGGATATAAAATACTGGTAATTTTAATCTATTCCTTTTCTCTTGACTACATATCAAAGACTTGGAGTAGTCAACCAGTGAATGTTTCTGCTTGGCTCTCAATTTTAAATCCCTTGAGTTTTAGTTTTTTAGCACCTAGGCTGCTAGCATCATGTTGACATTCGTTAAGAGCGAAAGCAGCAGATATGGAGTGTGTGTGTGTGTGTGTGTGTGTGTGTGTGTGTGTGTGTGTGTATAAAATCAATGCATGGAACATCTCTGAAATCCCCTAAGGACCTTCAGCTCCGAGAGTCTCTGGGTTCCCTTCCCACTAGCAGTGTTATTTACTGCAATCATATTCTTCTCCACCTACCTATGCCAAGCTGAGATGAGAGAGCTCATATGAATCAGGGAAGTAAAAAAATGGCTTATCTCCATGTCAACAACAACAACAAAAATATTAATTTGAGAAGCTATCCCCTTTTCTCCCAGGCAAGCATAGCAGAAAATAAAATATGCTGTTTTGAAGGGCTTCATTAATTGGGGTGGGAAGGGTGCTTTGATATAACCACTCTGCCAAAAGATGTCTTTGCTGTCGTCCAAACATGGCCAGGGTGTCCAAATTTAAGAAACAGTGAAGAAAACATTTCATAACTGCAGAAATATCACAGCAAGAGCACAAATCTACTTCCAATTTCCTTACACAAACATGCAACAAACTTCCAACAGTTTAAGTGCCTTGGTTTAGCAAACTGTTGTTATATGGGAAATAATCATGCATGAAACACTGTACACAACATACTGACAGTGCACATTAAGTGCTAATTATTGCTATTATTCTTTGAGCTGTACACACATTAATAACACTTCCTTAACTTATCTTCTAGCAAAGGAGGCTCTTCATCAAAACTGCCAATGTAAGAAGATTGTGCATAATAATCCGAGTTGGAGGCTGGCTGAAAAAATTGTCCTGCATAATCTGGTGGCATGAGCATTTCTGATGGAACAAAAGAGGCAGGCTGAGGCTGCTCATCCACTTGTTGTCTAGAAAAAGAAAAATACTCATATTTACACATCTAAGAAAAAATATCATAACAAATCGGGTAAGAAAACTAAAATTTCTCTTTCATGAATTCGCCTAGTTTTATGAATATTTACCCATGAAAGAAATAACTTGTTCCAAATGTACCTTTAGTCCAAAAGAGTTAAATAACTGGTCATAGGAAGACTTCTAGAAAATGATCCATACCTCATGTTTTCTCTATTAACACTCTACAAGGTAAAATGTATTCTTAATCCCATTTTACAGAAAGAGAAACAGAGGTTCATAGAGACTAAATGACTTGCCCAGTATCCCGCAGGTGCGGGACTCTGGCTGAGGTTTTCTGAGCAGTGCTCTGCTCCCCTCACACACTGCCTTTTCACTGACCGTCATGTCCCTGTAAGTCTGTGGAAGCAGCAAGTAAAAATCATAATTTTAATAGTATGGTCAATTCATAGGAAAAAATAAATACATAAACTAACTGCGAATGAGTCTGTAAAGAAATAATCCATTTTCCAGTTCTGGCCATTCCCAGACAATTATTGCCAATTGAACTACCTTTTGTGTCTAGCTAAATGTGTTCTATAGCTGGTTTTGGAGTCCCCTCTTTTGAAATGAGAAATTTAGTTTTGCCAAAATATGATGTTTCAATACATCCTTGACCGTGTTTTTGTTTTTTATTTTACCATTTGTATGAGTAAGTTGGACAACAACAATCTTTGTAAATAACTTCTTGTTAGAGCTACAGAAAGGAAGGGAAAAGGGAGAGTGTGTGAGGTTATTTGTTCATTTTAAATTGTTTTTACCTGAAAGAAGGGGAAGAAACGTAAAGAGTTGTCCATTAACATGTTTAGGTTTCTTTCATCAAAGTCTGTGGGACTAAGCTAAATATACAGTCCAAGATTCTGAACTTTGAACTCTCCATGATCTCTATGGTGAAATACTTGCAAAATGGCTTTTAATACTTTTATTCCAACATCAATCTTAATATGAAATCTAAGAATAACATATTCAACCTTTGTTATATGAGTAAGTCTGGCCAAGAAAATAACCTATTTTGGAAAAGAAAGTCACAGAGAGAGAGAGAGAGAGAGAGAGACAGAGAGAGATACGAAAACACTTAATCATTCGCTAACTCAACTGTAAGCTAATTAGGAGAAGGGACCTGGGTAATATTTTTTGAATGTCCAAGAACATATGCCGATTACCTACTGTTGTTATTCATTTAGCCATCTGTTATGTTCTTAATTTTTTTTCAGCAAAGCAGGCACACTCTGAAAAGTATTGGTAGAAAAAAATTATAAATAAGAATCTGAATGGCTTGTTGGTTGATAAAGTCACCTTAACATGCATTTCTTAAAATTTAAGCCATTCTAGAAGAATAAAAGTGGCAAATAACGACGATTCAGTGGACCAGTGTCTAAATAAGACTACGCTATTGACGCACCGGCCTGGCCCCACCTGACTCATGCCCAGTGGTACTAACTAGGCTTGAGGAAACGTAATCTTCACAGTTATTACCTACAAAGCAACCTCTGTGAATGAGGGGACTCGTATGGGTAGCTACTTTGATGCAGTCCTCCCTAAACAGAAAAACACATTTTTTACAGGACAAAAATATATACACGCTCATCACTGGTCACATCCTTTTTCTTTTTCTTTCTTCCATCAATCTCTGCTCCTTCATCTAGCAAAACTCCATTGGGAGCTTGGCGTCTATTATCATTATTATAATCAGAGCATAAATTGAAATTCCTTTACCACTTATTTAAGTAAGGAAAATTTTTAAGTTTTTCCTTTAAAGGGAAACACAAAATACTTTAATTATTAAAATTACCATGCTCATCTTTGATAACTGTCTAAATTTAAATTTTCTTTCTTATCTTATGACTTTGTATACTTTGACTATAATATTTAACACGACCATCTCAATGAACAAAACCTATGGAATATCAAAATAATCACATTATTAGTCCAAAGTCTCCCCCAAAAACCTCTGTAAATAACCTAACCCAATTCTCATGTTTGAGGCCTTTTTCCCAAAATTGCTATGAACAACTGTAATTTTAAGTGTATATCATGAAACTACACTTAGTCCCATGTCTTCTGGTATTATCTTTTTGACTAGATAGCACCAATTCTGAATGGCTATGCCAATGAGTTCTCTCACTTTCTTGGTGACATCTTTCAAGCCTATAATCCTTTCATGGAAGAAAAAGTCCTAGGACAATGGGACCAGACACTTTACTATTTGCTCTGTTAAGTCTATAGGATTTGATGGTTAATCTATTAGAGCCAATTTATTGAGTTTGATTAATACACTCAATATTTAAGATGTTAACGTTATGTATCTATACCCCACACAACAATGGGAGTCTTTTGGAGTACACCAACAAAATATAACTCTTCTCCTGGATCCCATAGCGTCTTAATTAGCTTAATGAAAAGCTAATACTGAAATTGTGATAATTTGTAATTCAGCATATTATTCCAAATGAAATAAAAGTCAACTGAATTAGACCAAAAGAAACAATGGACTCTGGCTGGTCAGATCTAAATATGAGTTTTGTTACTAAATGTCTCCTTTTCCTGTAAAAATCACTTCAAGCAACTGTGAAATGACTGTAAGACTCCTTTAGGACCACCAGTAACATTCTCGGCCATATTTCCCTTCCAATGTAATTGTTCTTGTAATGATAATCCAATTGTAGGATTTATCCTTAACCAAGCCGAGTGATTAGCAAACATGACTTTTATGTTAGACTCCCAGGGTTCAAATCCCTGTTGTACAATTGTAAGCAAATCACTTCACATTCTGTGCCTCAGTTTTCTCATCTGTAAAGTGAGGATAATAATAGAGCTCATAGGGTTGCTGTGAATTAAATTAGCTAAAATAAGTAAAGCACTTAGGATGGTGTTGGGCATAGGAGAAATGATCAAGCAATCAATTAGCTAAGTATTTGCATGTTCCTTTCTACCTAAGGCTTACAGTAATGCGTTCTAACACCTTCCATGTGCTCAGGAATAGCATCTTCTGTACGTGTAACAGTTGTCTCCCAGTCTCTCACTTCCTTAAAGAAAACCAGCATTAATAGGTGGTGAAAAGTTTGTGTCCCTTCTGTGCTGATCATCTTTAACTTTTATTTCCATTTTGGTTTCCCTGGAACGCCAAAACGACTTCCACATCCCACTAGTCCTTTGTTTTCCTACCAGGAGAATCTCCATTATACCCATGAGAGGATTTCTCTCTCAGCCATGATGCAACGGCCACGCGCCTGGTCTATGTAAAAACTCGCTGTATGCACACTGATTCTTCAACATTCCCCTGTTCACCACTCACACCTGGGGTTACGAAATTCTAGCTAGCCCCCGGAGGTGTGTCTTTGCTTACATGATACTGTGTTAAGACAAGGCACAGTCTCAAGCTGGGTAAAATTTTTGACCTGTTTCTGTGTGAGCAGGACTTGACTTTTGCCTTCCAATGCAAAAAGGCCTTTGTTAGAAGAGTCAGTTATAGTAATTTCCGTGGTTCAAGATACATTTTTTTTTTTTTTTTTTGCCTACAGGCTGTTTTCTGTGTTCCATGACACAACCATTAACTACACATTTTAGTAGAGGTTCTGTTTTTCCGAAGCTATAAGTTTGAACTTCCGTGATAATAGTCAACTGGTGCTGCTCTCCCTTTCCAGTCCGACCCTGGGGGAATTGCAGGTGTAGGCTCACTCCCAGTGTCATTAGGAGAGCAGCACTGTAATTCAGGTGGTGAGGTATGTTCTGCCAAATAAGTACAATTCATTGTAATTCTATCTCCACGTTTGGGCTCATATTCAAGTATAAGTATACTTCTTTCAATTAGGTGGCATTGCAACCCTTTGGGAACTCTAAACCACAAACGTTTTCAGAATGTGAACACCACCACCTTAAACAGGAGAAGACAATGGTATGACAGGTCTACAACAAAAAAAAATACCCTATTGGCTGAAAAAAATTTAGTCTGGATGCCCAGAAACATTTTCTGTATGTAAGTTTCCAACTTAGTCTACAAAAGCAGGCATTCTAAGTGCCCTTTGCAAAGCCGTAGTGTGTAGAATCAGTTTAGGGTACCGTTAGGGAACGGTAGCTGGGGGAGCTGGTTTATACAACATTCCCAGATCCTGGTTGGTTCAGCTGGGGGCCAAGTGATGCTATTAACTGTGTTTGAAATACTAGAAGATCACGTCTGAAGATTCAGAAAAGATGATGATTCAGAGTTGATCTGTTAAAATCCTACCAGAATATTCAAAGGAAGTTTTCCAGTTGTCCTCACCTTTCTGCAGCAATATCTATTTCTTCCTTCAGATAATATAAATAGATTTCCCATTTCAAAAATTGGAAAAATATAGTGGGAAAATATAGCCTAGGTGACCAGCTATAGGTGGTTGGGAATTACCCCATCCGAATTACTGAATAGTTATGTGTTTTTGTTGTTGTTGTTGTTGTTGTTTTTGAAGAGAAAGCTTCTCCTTGTTCATTCTAAAATAAGAAATGTTTTTAAATACAAATATCTTCATTGTCGGAGTAAACACAGTCAATCAGCTTTCAGATCAGTACTCCATTGAGCCAAACAGGATTTTTAAAGTAAGCTTCCATATACTGGGAGCAGGGGTGAGGGAGGGAGTGAAAGAGAGAGGAAGAGACAGAGACAGAGACAGAAACAGACAGAGACAGAGACACAGAAGCTGAATGATTGATTATAACTATTCTCTGGATTCTTATGTCTTTTATCAGGATGATGAGCATCTTATTCTTATTTGGGGCATATTTTAATTGAACTATTCAGGGTATGAATAAAAGATCATATCTCTGCAGGTCCTTTGATGCACACAAGTAAATCACTGACCTGAATCCTTGTTTTATGTACCTCATAAAACTATCGCAGCGAATGTGCCCTTTGCTAATTCCGGAGACTTATATAGTGTGGGTCGGAATTTAAATGTTACTGCATCCAAATCAGGACCTGGATTTAAATACGGAGCATCTAAAGCCAGCGAGGCCGTCAACCTGATAGTATATAATTATGAGCTTTCCTCGTTTGGTTATTTCCAAAGGAGGAAAAATTTTCCTCTCTTTGTCGCCCTGATTTCTGGGAAATGCTGATATGTGCAGTCAAACGGAGAAAGCAAATCGTAGCAGGTGGGGTGCGGGGAGAAGGCTGTGGTCCCTGAGTCCGTGC